GAACTGAGCTTCCTCTAGTAGTTCCTTGCGGACTAGTTTGTCTTCTGGGGCAAGAAGATACCCTGTTCGAAGGTAGTTCAGGATATACCGGAAGTGAGTCCCATCGCGATCAATGAAGTAAGATCCGTCTTCAGCGGGCTTTGAATCAAATCGGTCTGAAAACATGGCGTGTAGCATTGATCCTTTATCTTTTGTAATTGTTTGAAGACTCGTAGTGAAACGCTGACCACCTACGTTCAGTGTAATGGTAGAGGCAAAGTGAACATGTTCAAGTTTCTTCGCCACAGATTCGAAAGCCTCTTTTTCCTTGCGGACGTCAATTGCTTGTTGGTTCATGACGTCGTAGGCCTTCTTCATAAAGGTAACAGCCTCCTCTAGCGCATTGCAGCTAAGTGGTTCGATTTTTTCTTCGTCTAGCGACATGTCGTTCAAGATTCGACTCGTCTTTCTGTTTCACCAAGTAAACGAAAGTGGAAGCTTTTTAAATTACCATTGAACACACCCACTGGTCAGTAAAAGTGCAGGCTCAACCGCCGGTATGTTTTCCGTCTCAGACTAGGGCCGGACGACGGCGACGAGAACGGCAAAAAAGCAAGGCTTTTATAGATTTGCAAAACAACAACTCTGCAAGGGCGTCATTTTTTTTTGTTACATTTCTTTGCCGTCGCTGCTCGACTACGACGTGAAAATGCCTAATTTCACTTTTTGTGGAAGATGTGGACGCAAGACAACGACTTTCTTTCTTTCTTTTCCTGAACTTCGATACAGTCTTTTAGAACTCAACTCTAGAAAAAAATTGGCAATATTTGACGAAATAAACGATATATATGTAAAATAAGCCCCATAAAGCTTGAAGCCGTGTGACTTCACTTTTTAGTTAAGTTTTTTGTAGCCGTAGCCGTAGCCGTCGTCGTCGTAGTGCGGCATAGGCGTACGGGCCGGGGGGGGGGGGGGGGGGGGGGGGGGGGAGAGACACATACATCTTTCTTTTCTTTTTTTTTTTGTTATTTTAAATTTTTGTATTAAAACAGTAAATATAAAAAAATAGTGAAATTTATATAAAAAAAAAAATACTTAAATAACACAACACATCAAACTAGCGGTACTGTTTGTTTGTTTTTTTTTTGTTGTTGTTTTTTGTGGGGCGGATGCGGCCGCTGGGCGGGGGGGGGGGGGGCGGGGGGGGGGGGGGGGGGGGGGGGGGGGGGGGGGGGGGGGCTGCAGCCAACTCAACTCAGATTTTTTGGGCAGCAAGAGAAAATTTGGGCAAAGCCATTTTTTAAAGAAGTTTCCGTGTTTTTTTTTATTAGTTTAAAGACACAAATATTTTCTATTTTAATCTGAAAAAAAATCCTGAAGTCAGCGTATAACAATCCAGTTACATTCTCTCGAGACACTCACAGTGGCTGCTTAGCACGTGATGAGTTTCTGGTTATAGGGAAGGGTATCATTTGTTGATTTACATATTTAAAGTTTTTTATTGTTGAGCACTGTACTGCACTACACTGACTGGAATGGGCTCTTTCCAGTCGTGAATTGATTAGAATAAACTTCCGCATATCTTCCTAGAATCATCTCCGCCCGTAGAACAGTGTATGGCAGATAGTATCAGCAACAGTGGGTGTGAAAATGAAGAAGTGGCTGACTAGAACTCAGCTCGAATTACGAAACGAATATAAATTTTTTTTCAGAATCTATCAAGCAATAATTTATTAAAGTAGACCGAAATGTTTACAAAACCGCTAACAAGAGCGCCTCGATATATACTAATGAAATGAAATCCTTCTCTCTAGCGATCGGCAGGAGCAATCTCCATGATCTTTTACACACGTTTTTAAAAAGATTGAAGCTACTATGTAGTGAAATTGCATGTCAAAAGAGATTCGTTTTCTACAGTTAACGGCCAAACATCAAGATTATTTTTTAGCATATTTCTAAAACTTCATCCCAAAATATCCCGATAACTCTTTTATAGATTCCGTTTTAACTTCACGAACATCGACGCGACTGTTGGAGAAAAAAGTTCCCGTGAACGATTTTGTAGGAACAGTTCCCAGTGCCAAGAAATATTGCTGCAAGTAAAATAAACAATAGCGTCATTTCGATGCTATGACAACTCCGATGCAGGAGCCCATCAAATTTGATGGGCTCCTGTCCGATGTCATTAAAACCCTATGATAAATTTTCTTCTATATCTAATAAAACTATGGTAGCAGTTTTTTCCAAATGTTTGTCTATGGCGACGTAGTTATGCTCAAAATTGGGAGGTATTGACCCTGAAAAACTGTTACAGTATCGAGCCACCTTCATATGCCAGTACGGCCCACGTTGTTGCATCGTATGGCCCTCGTTTCTTTTCTACTGTTTCGTAAAAATTTGGGCAACTTGCGAGAATTTTTTGGGCAAATACTTTACCGTCCCCCTGGCAAAAAATTGCCCGTACGCCTATGGTAGTGCGGACAAAGGGAGCTTAAGCAACTACGACGACGACGACGATGACGACGACGACAACGACAACGCGGACAAAAAACAATTAGTTTTATGAGCAAAACAACAGCTCTACACGTGCATCACGCTTTTTTAGTACATTTCTTTGACGTCCACTGCACGACTACGACGTGAAACCTCCTAACGCGACGTGGGGGACGTGGACATACGATGACAAATTTTCCTTTCTCTATTTGAGCATGATGGATAAAGTCCGTAAGAAGTCAACTCCAGAAAAAGTCACCGACATTTGACGAATTTAGCGGTTCGAAATAGACGCGATAAAGTTTGAAAGGACGCAAATACATTTTTTGAATGATGTTTTTACTACTGTCGTCGTCGTTGTTGCTTAAGCTCCCTAAGGGAAAGCCTGTGCGGGCGGTAAAATTGGGGCGAAGAAATTAAAAGCCATATTTTGCCGCTCATAAACTTTACCCTACCCCCTAAGGTGGCCTAAGCGGTGATATATGATTGAGGGAGTTTGTATATAGACTCCGAGCAGTCTCTTATTACTGTTTTTAGTCACAGTAAATCGAGAGAAGGCGTGAGGGGAGAGCGGCAAAATTAAGGCCGCGAGGAACGAGGGCGGAAGTGCAAGCAAACCATTCTCTCCTTCATTCACCAGTTTTTTCACTCGCCGCGTGTATCTCTCAGGAAAGACGACCGCTCACTGTTTAGTTTGTATGGGAAATAAAACTCAAAGTAAATACCGATATGAAATAGACTCAAACACTGAGGAAGGTTGGCTATTCTGGCCTACCTTTCTCTCCATAACTACGCCTGTTTGAGTCTATTCATTTTGTTCATTTCCATCTCATTGGGTAATAGAAGAATAACAAAACTGTCTACTAGCTACTTATTGTATGCCTCATTCTTTAAAACACAAAATTACATTCCCGCAATTTCGCACCTCACCCCTCCATTTATAAGCTATTTATACTAGAGCGATCACGAATTTCGGTTACTTGATTCTCAGATTTTATTTTTGTTCCACTTTTTTGCCGTGTACCAATATCCTTCAAAGGGAATGTAGCTGAGCTGTTAAAGCCGCTGACGGCCTACAGTACTACTTGGAATTTCATATATGACAATCAATCATACGGCACTGGGAAGAAAGACTTAGTTTAGTGCATTTTCTTGACAAAAAAATGAAGTTACACTACTAAGCAAACTGCTCTCGTTATACTTTAATCCAACCCTTTCACCTGATTTCGGAGCATTCTACGCTGTTTTTTTATATCTTATTAGAGCTGCGACAAAGTTGTCAGCTGAATTACTAAAAAAGTAACCTGTTACGCAAAAAAATGCTATGGCAGTATCATCGGCCTTAGTCATATCCAAGTTAATATATTCTATTATTAAACATCGAATGTTCAAAACAGTTCATGTAGTATTGGTTGGTACTGTTATCTAACTAAGTTATTTCTACTTCGGCACTGGCTTAATCACAAGTAAAAGCTTTTTAGGAAACTATGGTATACGAAATCTTCACTCGTCCTTTCACTTTCCCTTACTGTTACTCCACAAACAGAATTGTGGATTTTTATTTAGACATATGTCCGTAAATTAGTTTAGTACAAACATATGTACAAAGACTTAACTCAAAGCTGTTTAGACGGTAACTTCAAACAGTTCTTAAACTATACATGTAGTATAGTAATGGATAGTAACAACAAAGCCACAATGAGAATTTCTTTCCGAATATTTGAAACCATAAAACGCACAGCAAAATCTGCTCTCAATTTCACACTTTAATCCATAAAAGAAAGTATACGGTACTTCAGGGCTGATATATGAACACTTCTAGTTCATTGACAACAAAATCTGATAGACCGGTTAGGAATGAAGAATTTGCATCATCTGGACACCGATAAGTATGGCCTAACTTGGTGGTGCTATCTGAGTTTGCGTTTGGCTCATTGCTAATCAAAAGATCATGCCCTCCTCCAAATATTTTCTTGTGAAAAGTCTCTTGACCGGTAAATTGAAACCCAAGATTTTCTCCCAAGGAGTGTTAATAGTTAATAATAATTTGCAAGGAAACGTAAGAAAAGTTGGCTTGGCCAGGGTAGCTCGCGTAGGTGACCCCTCTATTTGGGACAACTTTTCCCCATATAAACGGGGCCTGTCTCTGTTCGTTCACGCAGGTTCACGTACGTACGTATTTGCGCAAAGTCTACCCGTGTTATTTCATTATGGCAGTGGTGAGCACTTCTGTTTTGTTTGTCTCGTTTTGATGGTCGACAAATCAATCGTCTATTCCGGAGGGTTTCAGTGTTATGCGCTTTTTGTTTGTGGATTATATTACAAAGTAAGTTTTTTCATCTAATAATATTACGTAAAATTGTGTTTTATGGGGTTTATATGGGAGAACTAAAAGTATATAAATATAAATATCGCCTTATCTTAGCTTACCATGTAGCAAAGAATTAAAGTCAACTTACTTTGCTGTATTTGGTGTTCCTTTGTTTATTTGAAGCATTTTGGGCTTATTTGTTTGGCTGCTGAACAATAAAATCGCAGGCTCAGTCATCAGTTATGTTCGCCATCTTGGATTTCATTAATATGGATTTCCTTTGTTATGTCTCATGAAGAGTGTTGCCTCTAGCAACCTGAATTTAATAGTATGGCGGTCGTAAACTATTCGACCACACGATCTCAATAGCCACTCTTTGAAGCAGAGAACTTGAAAGAAGCATTGATGTCATGACGATAAGAGTAGAACTCGACCAACTACTAAACCTCGCTCTTGGCACCCCAGAGCTAGGGGCTGTAAATTTCAATATTCTTCACGGATTGCTCCGGGAAATTCTTAACCATCTAGGAATCGAAAAGAAAGGCAAAGATATCAGCGATGATGGAGACTTCAGAGCTGCATTTGCGCTACTTAGGAACCAACAAGAGAGCTCTCAAGATTCCGGTAGTGATAGTCCAGATGACTTGAAATCGAAGGTGTCATCTGAAACAGTCAAAGCAGATAAAAGATCTTTCTCTGCCGCTACATTTTTGACCCCGTTTCACGGCAATTTGGAATCGAAGGTATTAAATATTGAGAAGAAACTAGAAATTTTGGAAGACCTGCCTAGTAACGGAGAAATTTTACAACGCGCCAAACAGAAAAAGGATGCTAGAACCCCAGTTGCAGATATGTGGCAGTTTATAAATATAAACAGAAGGCTAGGAGCTACTGAAATTGGCATTGAAAAGGTAGGCACATGCATGTGATTCCACTTAGATGTATAACTTTTTATGACTGTTACTTATTGAGGTTATTGTAAGCATTCCAAATTCCAAAGTACCTTTAATTGTGTTTGGTATGGTAATACCATGAAATCTTTTATGGCGTTCCCCGGAAATGGCTAACTGTTTTTTGTGTTAATGATGTTCATGTAAGTTTTGGTATAATTTAAGCACGGACCTGTATGCTTAAACAAATATCTCGTCTGGATTCGGAGCCGATCCGAAGCAAATGTTTACATAACAAATTATGGAGACAAATGATCTTTTTTGACGCGTTGGTCAACTTCAAAAAGTGTGAAGTTACTTTAGACAGTGACTGGAATTAAACATTAGCGTGCGGTGGCGGCTACTTTAAGGGTTTGAGAGAATGGCCATTTATGCAGAGGAAATTAACAAGTGCTTTATCGGTCTTATCTTTTTTTGCGGCAATTAAACTTCTTTTGAACTGACTCTTTTTGTTACAGTTTTTATTTGTGGCTTATTCATGTGTGAAAAAATTCCAGGTGTAAAAGAAAATTGGTTGACAGCTCTTACATTTGGTTGACACCACATGAATTTCGCCATAACAGCATATGCAAGTTTTTTTTTTTTGACATAATCATCAAACCAGTAAATTTTTAATAACTTGGAATTATGTTTTAAATGTAAACAAGTGCCTGTAACCAGGGTAGCGCTGGGACATGGCAATGAAAACCCCACCACCCAGCAATTTGAAGTTTATTGCATGCTTTGAATGAGGCAGAAGTCTTTTTCTCATTTTCCTTCATTTGTACTTAGGATATTAAAATATTAGGCTATCCTGAAAATCCTAAAAACTGATTCCAGTTCCTCAGTTGTTGCTGCTGGCATACACGTGCATATACATTTTGTCAGAGTTATACCAAAATATGCACGTAATACACATCGGGAAATACGAATCCATTGCATTCAGGCCAGACGCATCCATGCGTCTGAGTTGATTTTTGTATGCGTCTGCTTTGAAATGCATCAGTGCACAATAAGACTCATTAGTATTTATGAGCCATCTCTACTTTTTGTTGAGAGGACGTGTAATGTGTGCAGTCAGTAAAAAATGTAATCCCTGGGCTTACAGATGAAGAAGAAGAACCTTTATTAATTTATACTGCTCAGGGTAGCCCCTTCAGACCCAAAAAGCTGTCTGTTATCAATGGGAGCCCTGAGCAACAATGCACAAAAACGCACTAAACATATAAACATTACACTAATACAGGTAATAATATAAATAGAAAACTATTTTCAATTAAAAGATTAAAAGATGTAAAACACGAAATATCATTATTGAAGATAATTCGTCAAAAAGAGTGCAACCATAATAATAGAAGGATCTTTTTTGCAATTTCAGTTCTCACAGCAGGCGGATGTAAGAGGTTGCTTTGTCTAGTAGCGCACGCATGGATTGTATTGTATTGTATTATTAGGGGTTTTAAAAGGGGCTTATGAATGGAGGGGCTCATATCCAAGTGAGCTTATAACCAGAAAAGCGCTTCAAAACAAACTATATCAGTACTGATGAGAATAAGTTTTGCAATATTACTGGTTTTTAAGTAAGTTTCAAAATGTCACTGACAGTAAATCTACATGTAATTCAGAGAGGGGCTTATTATTGTTTGCAGGTAGATGGGCTTATGGGCAGGGTTTCTGATGTTTTGCAAAGTTGCAGAGCTGCAAAATTTAGGTAAATCCGTGATATTCACCAAAACACGCAAAATACTGGGAAATTTGGTAGAAATCTTGTCAAATACATGTCAATACTATATATTTGAAACTTATCTTGACTGTTGGGGCTCTTTATAAATTGTCGGAAAACTTGCAAATTAATTTATCTTAAAACTTCATCACCACAATGAGTGAACAATGTCCCAAAACTCCCAGGCGTAAATTATGTTAAGAATAAATAGGCACTAGTCATAAAAGCTTTGTCATTGGCTCATTTCTCGAGTGCTTTGTTGTTAAAATAGCAAATGAGAGTATCTCTGTTAAAAAACAATGAACACACTCGTCAAATCAGTGAAAAATCGATCAATATCTAGTGAAATTTGCCCAGAAAATTCCCATGAAATTGGCTGTTTTTTACCAGTTGTTTTTGAGTGAAGTTAGCCCTGAAAAGTTCTGTGAAATTCCTGCGAAACCGGCCAATTTTCTGCAAGTCTGTCTCTGAAAATCCTGCAAAATTAGACTTTTTTTACGCAACCTATCAGAAGCTCTGTATAGTGAGGCCTTTAACCAGGGTGCGTATAAGAAGCATTCGACAGAGGTTGCTTTAACTAAATGTAAATATCAAAGAAGATGCTTGTCAGACAATTAGAATAATATTAAACCCCTGACAACCACATAACAGCTTTGGAGATTTTAATATGTATTAGGGTAAAGATGGTGACATTGAATTTTATATCATTCCATAATTATGCTTCTTTTTATATAGAGCTTATTGTTTATGCACAACCCTATAGTGAAATTTACAATGTAAAGGTTAAAGATTATATTGAATCCTATTTTAGTAAGCACTTTGCAATATTATTTACACCTCTAAGATCAAGACAACAATTTCTTGGACCCTTTTATTGTGGAAGTTCCCCGTCAAGGGTCATTGCTGTCATAGCAGTTAAGAAACTTAGTGGTTGCTTCAGACTGTGGTGTTTTCAAAAACTCAAAATGTTTTCCGTTTTTATGGCCAAATGTTTTCCTTGTTTTTTGTGCTATTTACTATTTTTTTGTCTGCATTAAAATCAACCTTAAATGCAATAAATTTGTGGTAAAAGGTAAAAACTAAAAGGTACTAGTTATATTAATTAAGGGTTAATAAAATAACCTTTTTCATAAAATTTTCATAGGCCCATTTACATTAAGTAAAGAAGATCAACCCCATGTCATATTATGTACATGTATTAGCCTAAATTACAGTTACAGTTATGTATGAAATTAGATCATTGACTGTTAAAACTGATTTTGAGGTTAAGTATGACTTACCATCAGTTCTAAGTAAGTATACAAGTTTACAATGTACTTCAGTTATGTTTTGATGGAGATTTTCTTAGTAAAGCTCACTAGAGCTTGCAATGTTTTTCTGCATTATATATACAGGTCTGTACATGTACATATACCTATTTCTTTTGTAGATGATAATTATAAATCACTCTCAAAAAATTTGGCCTCATTGTGGCTTCATTGCATCCTTTCAACTGTAGTACATTTGTATCCCCTTTTTTTGTACAGGCCATGGTGTCAAATCCTGACAGACTTTTTCTACCACCTTAACTTGCAACATTGAAATCGTGAATAAAATAGCATTGGATAGACTAAGGGCTGTTGACCGTGGATTCCTCTGCCTAATATGAGCATGATCCCCCTTTCACTGGCTACTTTCATTGAAAACAAGTGAAAAGAAGAAAGAACTTCAAAGATCTTCAATTCCCCAAAATCGTAGTTGGTATATTTTAGCCCTGATTTTCATGTAATTAATGCTCCAAATGCTTCCATTACCAGACTTAAAAACTTCAGGTTGTACAATATTAATATTAATGTTATTATATTGTTGATATTATAATTTTGCTTTAGCTCACAAGTCTTTTAGACACCATGATGAAAGAAGTCAGTGATGTTAAAGAAACTGCGGAGGAAATAAATGGATTAAAGAACAAAGTGTCTGAGGTTAGGTCAATAAATTATTTTATTATTAACTGTATTAGTTCACCCACTTCACTTTCATGCACATTGTGTATCATGAAACTCAAGGTTTTCTCTCTTTTGTTTTGCTTTGTGTATGTAGTTGGAAAAACTAACTTCAAACCTCAGTGAGAGGATTACTGCACTGGAAAGTGTTGGTAAGACGTATAGACGTACAGCTGTAACTGTTGTGTCATTTTTATGATATTTCTATTATTATACTGCTACGTGAGAAATTTCTGTATTTTGATTGGCTTAGGGCAGTGGTGTTTCAGCTTAATTTGAAATACCTACATGTGAAAATTACAAAACTATTGCGGGCTAGTAATATAAACAAATAATAGCATGATTCGTATGTGATATTTGGCATAAGAAGCTTGAACACAAACTGAACTTGGATACAGAATAAAGCAAAGAGAGAAACTGACATTTCAAGTGATATTTCAAAATTGTCTCAAATTTCACTCACCTAACGGCTCGTGAAATTACGTATAACAATTTAGAAATATTACTCGTGGTATTTATGCGAAATATCACTACAAATGATGCTATTATATACCTATCATAATTATATATATTGTTTTTATTATAAACTTGAATTCATTCCTAAGAAAAGGAATGGTGTTAGCTGTCAAATTCATTCCTAAGAAAAGGAATGGTCTTAGCTGTCATAGCTGATGTGTTAGCTGATGAAATAACTGAGCTGTTTGTTTTGATAAATTTGTAGACAACTCTCAAGAGAAAAAGAAACTTGAAGATTTGCTTAAGGAATTGGTGAGAATGACAGCGCAGTCAGAGAAAATTAGCTATTAATTTGCAATAGTGCAGTAAATGCAGGTGGTGGACAAAATGCTGACCCCCAGTCCATGGACTACCCCCATGGACTACACGTATGGACTACCTTTTGAGTAATTTTACCCGTAGTTACTTCATGTACCTAGCATTGTAGTGAATTCAAAAGGTAGTCACTATGGGTAGTCCATGAACTGGGGGCTAGTATTTTGTCCACCGCCATCAATGTGGATGAGTACAAAGATTCTGGGAAACTGTCTACTCACCTACCCCTCCCCTAATACAGCATTAACACTTACTTCTCACTTAAAGGGGAGGGGGGTAGGTGGGTAAGTGGGTACCATCTTTTGACACCTTTGTGAGAAAGACACCTCCCTGAACTAGATACCCTGAGAGTTGGTCCCTGCTTTTAATTGGTTATTTGCTATGGCTTGCTATAATGCAGGCGCCTGCTTGCCGCCAGCCCCTGAAGTGTCAATCAGAGAGAGTGTTGACTACATTTTTTTTTCCTGCTCAGTATTAATAGTGAAGGGTCACAAGATTAAATGAAGATGACGTGAACTGCAGAAATGCAATATGTGACTGTTGTAATAGCAATTTTTGAGCAATGGCAGATTAACCCAAGAAATGTCTGAAGGGCCTCTGCATTAGTGCTGTAGAACTCTACCAACTGGGCTATAAACACCCATGTGGTAGACTTAATTATGAACAAAGTACTTTGTTATTAAACAATAAAATGACACATAACACATGCTCCTTCACCAAGTCAGGGGAGTGCTGAGTGCAAATGCAACTTGTTAGTTTTAGTGGTAGTGGACATAAACAGCAAAACTCTAAATTTGCTTGAAATAGTTCATTGTGTGCCCTTTGTTTTATTCTAGCAAAATCTCAAGAAACAAGTAGATGACCTTCCCACAAAAGATGACCTCAATAATTTGGACATATATGTCAAATGGCCACAACTTGAGGAAGCTTTAAATGCTAGAAGAAGTCGTGCCCCTTCGGCAAAGTCAAGGGCATCTACCCCTAAAGCAAGAACTCCTACCCCACCCCCACCCAGGACACCAAGTCCTCCTCACCCCTCCGCTGAAGCACTTGAGGCATTGAGACAAATTGGTGAACTTATGGATAGACATGAAGTGTTAATTGAACAAGTGGATGCATTAGAGGTTTGTAAATACCTACATCTAATTTAATACAAGTAATGCAGCCTACTACTGTACCTTGTAGTAGTATCGGTTGTCTGTCAGCCAACTTTTGTTTATCTTTTGACTGTTGGTTGACAGTCTTCTGACAAGTGGCAGAATTATTTTTTGGGGAGTTGTTCTTCAATTTTTCCCACATTTGTACTCTTTTTCTCACACACCACTGGTAGCCATGCCAAGCCAACCGTTGCAGCCTGACCTTTATTTTAAACTCAAAAAATGCATACATAACATAACCTTAGAAAGGTAGGACGCTAACAAAACTACAAAGTTGCACCGTACATTTAACAGCATACAAAACTGAAATCTTAGGGTGGGTGGGTGGGAAGGTCAGTAATGGCAGACGCAACAAAAGCAACTGCCCGCCTTTCAGTCACATGAACTATACCCAGGCTCCCAGTGGTGTGTGAGAAAAACATTTTCCACTTAATGCGTTACACTCAGCCAGTGGAAAACTACCCTTAACTTCCCAGAGTAGCTTATTGCAGTAGAAGTCATTGCAGGATAATTTATTCACGTACATACAAATGTATTTTCCTGACAATCTTTTTACAGATGAGTGTGACCACATGAACTGAGGTCACCCAGACAAAATTTTCAGACAGATTTCTTTAATTACTGCTGACTTTGACTCTGGCCTGAGCCCAGATGTTGTCAAAACATTTTCTAGGTTAATTTACACAAACATCATGATTCCTTATTAGAAAACTGGTTTGCAACATATTTTGAACTGGCTCTGAGTACAAAATTATGCATATTTTCATTGTTTAGATCTTGACTTGTGATTTGCTAATTTCAAAATTTGTCTCATTTTATGTCTGGTTGACCATGGTTTGTGCGGTTGCACTGTAAGCCTTGATTACAGCAAATTACAAAATAATGTATTATTATTTTCCATTTTGTAAATAGGTTGTTGGGTTTACATGTACTCATTAAGTTAAGAAGATTTCCAACCTACAAGAGATTTTCTACAAATTGAAAGACCTGCATCCATTTATTTCCATTCATTGTAATTCCTCACTGATATTTTATTTATAATTATTTTTTATTGACAGGAACAAATGCCCAAAAAAGCTAACCTTGAAGATTTGGAGGAACTGAGGAAAAGACCAGGTGTTTTGATGAAAACTGCCTTTATTTTTCACTATGTCCATTTTTAATAGTCATCAAACTAAAAATAGAAGCATCTACAGGGTAACTTTTTGGTGCATGTATCTTTTATAATCATTTTTGTTTTTCTATTTAACTAGATGTACCAGATGACATTCTTGAGCGGCTTAAGTGGTTAAAGGAAGGGCTTGATGCAATTAATAAGTGGAAAGACGAGGTAATGAAAACGACAACGAAACCTTTGCTACATGTACAGCGTACAGAAATTCTGTCTGCATATGCAGCTAAACAAACACAATAATTTCATTTTATCGCATGAATTGATGAAGTCAATTTACTGTTTAAAAAAGATTCAGACTGAAAGTCGGGTTCGGTTAAACCTTTTTCCTTAATTAAAAATGAGCATGGTTTTAAGTTTAATATAATGAATTATTTTATTTCAGTAACCTGTTTCTTCAGTAACCTGTAAATATTACATGTACGTAACTGGTTATTCTGTCTCAAGACACTAAACTGAAAACAGTGATTAGAAATAAAGAATAAACCAGATAAACAGAAATAACAAATATTTATAAGGGAACATTCAAAAGGGAAGATTTAAAGTGTTTGGATGCAAAAGACAAAAAATTCAGTTAACTTAGTCTACTAATATTAAAGAATTAATAGTCGGTGTCCTTATTGAATTATAATATCTACAACAATTATTTACATGACTTGTGTAACTTTAAGAAAACCATTCCTGCTGACCTTGAAGCACAGTTAGCATCGCTGAGGGAAGGGGTGTCATTGCTCAGCAATAACAAACAACAGGTAATAGATAGCGGTAATAATAATCATAATAATAATAATAATTTAATATTAATAATGTGATATGATGATGATGATGATAATGTTATTGACAATAATAATTCAAACAGTGTGGTTCAATCTGAACTTCACTTTGGCTTGAAATTTCTAAACAATATAAACTATATATAGTGAAACCTGAATTACAGCTGTTTCGGATAACGTGACCTACGTTGTCAAAATTTCTTTGGATTGTGGGTTTCGCAGGTCGCATGTTATCCAAAACAGCTGTAAGTGGACATGTACATGAAGACCATTGCCAGTGTCCACTACAGATGTAGATGTATAACTAATATGGTTTTGTTGTATAGCAATGTCGAAAAAAAAGTGGCTCCGCTTAATATGGTGTCCATAAAATGAGGCCTATAGTTGTAAACATGCAAAACTCAAAATTTGATTTGTAAACCACAGCTTTAGACTTCAGACTTACGAACGTTAGCTTTTATCATTCGGTCATCTTCATTCATCTTTAATACCTGTAATTATTATTATCATTATTATTAAAATTTATTTCAATAATAACAATTTACCTAGTTTTTTTTTTCATTCTAAACCAGAATCAAAGGGAATTAATCTCATTGATACAAACAGTATAAACACGTTTAACTGTACGAAGTTGTCTGATTTTTCAATTTAACAGTTAAACTGTAGCCACTATCTCATATTTTCGTAAGGTTTTGAAAACACATTTTTGGTTAACGTGCAATTAACTTTGAATGTAAAGATACTGACGGTTAAAAACTTTGAAACTTTTGAGATTGAAAAAATGGGACAACAGCTTCAAAGCCTAAAGAAAGTCTCGGACATGCTGAGCTATCACAACCAAAAGGTACAGAGATGATGCTTTTAACGCTGTTAAAATTTAAAGCTGATAATACATAAGCTTAGCAAATCCTAGTGATAAACATTTTAAAGTAAATGGGAAGCGGAAAGATCGTTTGAGACGCATGACACTTCAATAAGATAGCTGAGAGGATTGATTTTGTAGAACCAAATATGACCATCGCAGTTGTAATCGCAATTGAAACAACTGAAAATTAAGCCCAAAAACAAAATAAGGGACTCGAACCCATGGCATCTGTTTAAGCGTTACATTGCTCTACACACTGAGTTATGAAGAATTGTGGGGTCATGATTCAGATTTGTGTTTCCGCAGTCTACATCATTTTTATTCTAAGTGTCAAAAGTATTTTGTAAAAACAGATTTTCGGGTGTGTACGTTTAACCATTCCTGGTTTTGAACTCCCTGGTAAAGCGATGCGTGAGACAAAATGCTTCCAACATGTAATTTTAAGTAGCACAGAACACCTTAAAAAGCTTTGGAACCCAGTTTCACCTTGTGCAGGAAATGTGCTAATCACTAACTGCTATTCGCAAAGTTAAACTTAATCTAGCATTCTTTAATATGCTATAACCTGCTAAAGCCGGCTGTAACTGCTGAGTTTCCTTTGCTTTCGTTTTTTTTTTAATTGAAAAGCCTCAGTCGTGATTAACCATTAATCGTATAACGATGACTGCCTTAATACTGCTTTTTCAAACGAGCTTATTTAATTTTAAACTTTTAATACTTAACAGCCACGTTAAAGTTCTAAACTAAGCTCACTAATGACTTTTGGTCCTCTTGACTCTGTCCGTCTTAAGATTTCTACATAAAATAGACGATCGACCATCTCTAATCAAATTATATGTTAACTACTTTGAGTATATGCTGAGTTGATATTTTTCGGGTTTTAATATCTGTCCTGAATTCTGGTGACCAATGGGCGCTCTCAATGCACCGTGCATCCATCACTTGCTCAGTAGTCAGACTGAAATAATGTCTGGCAAGTAATAGTAACTTTAACATACCTAAAACACTGGTTCTAAATTACCATTCCTGCTGATTCGCACTAAATATGTCATGTTTTACTAAAGCTTCAAATGATTCCTGATGACTTGTTGGATCAACTAAATAAGCTTAAATATTTGGAAAAAACAACCAAGCAAATGAAAGAATTCAACGAGCAGGTAATTATGTAATGTATTTACAGCCTATTACTGTAGTTTGAATTAGCTTAAATGTAAACTGGAAAAGATAACATATTGTTTTTTATATTGAAAAATCAATCCATTCTAATTTATCATTTATTTATTTTTTGTTTTATAACCCTTTTGCCAGAAAATATATATATAAATTTTTAAGAGGTATAATTTCAAATTGTAAAATCTTTAAGTTTGTTTAGTTTTTTTTTTTTTCGTCTGTTCCGATCTAACGCCAAATCGGAGGAACGATTAATTAATTCTGCTTATAAGAAGACAGATCTTAAATCATCTTGTTCGCTAGATATTGTAGCTGTTTAAACGACAGATGTATACGTAAAAAACTACTTTGTAAATGAGTGATTAAATTTAGTTTTATTTTATTGAAACGAGGCATTTTAGGTAGGCAATTTTTTGTACCAAAAATCAAGAAACGTTAGAACTCGGTTGCAATGATTATGTATAGTTAGGTGATTTTGAGGGAAAAGTGAATGAAAACTAGGAGAAGCAAAAATAAATAAATGGATAAAACATTTAAGTTTTGGTTGACTCCAGCAATAGCTTTCTTTGAGAACGATTTGAAGAATTGAAAGTAAAATAAAAAATTAACCTAATAAAACTTTTCATTCAATAAAATTTAATTTTTAAGTTACCGTCGAGACTTCAGCGGGTCGAGGATCGAATAAAAGAAGACATAGAACGTGAGATCAGAACCTTAAGGGATGGTCTTCGTCTTCTTAATAACCAGCTAGATAAGGTTAGTATGTAAATAACCAGGGAACAAGCTCTCCGGAGCGCTCTGGCGGCGGGGCGGGAAAAGGAAGGAGAGCTTGGAACTGCATCTCTGGAATTTGAATTCCATCTCCAATTCCCCTGTGGCTCCCCGTCGACGGAGCTGTCAGATTTCCGCCAATCAGCGCGAAGCGGAAACGAGCGCGAATGTAAACAAACATTGAAAGGGTAATGACGTCATTACTACTGTCACCTCCCCCAGTCAGTATTTCGCATCGACTTTTTCGATGCAGATATCCAAATTCCAGAGATGTAGTTGGAAGATCTCCTTTCTTTTCCCGCCCTGCCGCCAGAGCGCTCCGGAAAGCTTGCTCGCAGGCTAATATGTAAATAGTTAAGTGTTTGTTAACGACTTACTTTTGAAGAAAGTAAAGACATTAATATGAACATGAAAAATTGTTTATTTTAAAACAGCTGAGATAGCAGTATTAGCTATTAGATCAGGTTGCCAGAGAAGCCGCTGAGAAGAAAAGAAGCGGGAGTTTATACGGACAAAAGATCAAACTATACATTTTTCTTGTTGATTTGAATTAAATCTAAAAGTTAATTTATACCTACTCTAACATTTCTGTTAAACTAAAATGTTATTGCCATCAGCTCCTTTTAAAAACAGGGTGAACTGCCTCGTGTATTAAAAATTAAAACTATAAAATTAGTAAAACTAACAATATATACTATGTAACATTCACTGTTAAAGTACAAGAAGATGGCAGAAACTATTCCGAAATCACCGCCTTCAAATACAGGAAAAATAAAGGTACAACCATGTCCCATGTAAGCAGTTTATGTCATAACGGATACCTTTACCCTTATTCAAAGTAAACCTAATCGTTAAGTCTTATCAATAAAATCACAAGTATAAAACTGATACATGTATTGAACTAAAACATAGCATACAAAGAGCACAAGGCTGCTTTAATTGCCAAGTCCAGCAAGTTTATGAAACTTTTGAAGTCGGTTGGCGTTTATCAAAATATCTTCATTTTGTACATCCTCGGAGACCCAGGGGCAGATAGCTAGTGGGGGATAGGGAAAGTGTAGACGGGCGGATTTCTTCGCGCCATTTTTTCCCGCCCGTTTACACTTTCCCTCGTCCCCACTATCTGCCCCTGGGTCTCCGAGGATGCTTTCCGTATTTTCGTACGCAGCTTTCTCCAAGGGTGCGTTCCTTTGGGATGATCCATGATCCTGATGTGGATCATGTCAAAGGAACGCACCCCAAGATTTGCCTATCGAGCTGGAACTGAAGGTGCGTTTGATTGAGATGATCCGAGTCAGGACTAGTAATCCGAGATCACTCGGATCACAGCACATCAAAGGAATTGACAAATCCACCCTGGGAAATGATTCATCGGTACCTTCGATGCTCATGGTCCGGTGATCTCGGATCACTGATCCTGGCCGGGATCGTTCCAAAGGAAAGCATTGTTGTACTTAAAGTTAAAGCTCGTGATAAGGAGAATTTTTTCACTTGTATATTATATCCATTTTGAAAGAAAGGTGCCTATGCCAAGGCCACTTTTGGTTGTGAAATAGTTAATATTTGAAATAAGTAATAATAATAAGTATAATAATTTGCCTTTGAAGAAAGATCTCTACAAACTATAAAAATAAGTTAATGAATTAAAAAACACCTATATACTTAAACAACAAAAACAACAAACAAACAAACAATGGAGAAATAAAGGGAAACAAAACAAATAGGACAACATGTCTTAGTCTTGGATTGGGTAGCCAGAAGTTTTAGAAAGCGTTAGGTTTTCCTTTTATAACTACTCGACGCAAGACATCCTCAACAATTATGACTAAATGAATGATGCTGACGTTGACTGAAATCGTTAAATAAATACATAAAGTAGACTGAGTTGCATTACACAACCTATTAATCGAACGTTACCTCTAGCAAATGACGACAAAGGTATCCACAAGCCGAGCGTCAAATATAACTTTGCCAATAAGGAACGATTTTAGTGATTTGTTGTCTTTTAGGACGTTGAAGCACTGAATGCCCTAAGAAGCATGCTAACGGAACTTCAAGGAGAACAGGAAAGATTAAGCAATACAACCAAGGAATTGATAGAAGAACACAACAGGAAACAGAAACATATTGATGTGAGTTTATTTTTTTAACATTTGCCAGTGTATTCGTCTAATTGTTTTTGGAACATTTAAGTTTTTACAAAAAAATTACTGTAATACACTCACACGTCACAGACGTGTATCAAACCAATTTTCTTTTGAACACGGCCAGATATGCAAGTTTTTGTCGTCTGAAAAATAAAGCAGGAGCTGTTTCACTAATTTTACCGAAATTTAAGCAGTTGGAATTGCCACCAGTTGAGTTAGTGAAACATAAGAATACCCGCCCACGATAATAAAAGAAGGTACAAAGAAACACAGTATGTATACACAAAAGAAGGTACGGGTGGACAAATTTGAAGAAGATTAAAGCGGAATGCAGTTGTGGTTTTTGAAAACTTGCTAGCAGGACTTGTTATGCTTACGAGACGTATCTGTCTAACAAGAAGCTGTGATTTTGTCATTTGCCAGTAGTTCCTTTGCTTTAATTAGGTAAAACTTATGAACTAAGCAGCCGTGACACAACCTCTTTAACGGTCTTTTTAACTTGTTAGTATGAAGGTTCTATGTCCACTTAATAATTCGTTCCCCTCAACAGGCCCTGTACACGTACGCTGACAAGCTACAGGAGGTTAAAGCTGATAAGGAGCAGGTTGCCATGGAAATGGACGTGGTATGTGAAAACGATTTTTTCCACTTCCATGTCATGGTGCGATTTGATGTGAAGTAGAGGGTGTATGTGTCCGATTTTTTAGGCAACTGATAATCGCTTTAAACTGTACACTATAACGTCATTTGCTTTTTTGTGTTTTCATAGAAAGCAGACAAGCGTGCGATAGACAATTTAGTAAGTCGGACCAAGTTTGATCAGAGTATAGGAGGACTGGACCAGTCACTACAGGAACTGTTACAGAGGCTTGAAGGACAGGTATGTGCTGGACCACATTCCTAAGTTAACTTTACTCCCTTGCTAATCAAAGCGTTGCTTTTAAGGGCGCTAGAGATCTTAGCTAACAAAAGTCCTGAAAAAAAAAGTTCCTTTTTTGGATATTGTGTCGTTTCATAATAAGTTTTGAAAAAAGAGATCAGACAGAGTTTTAATGTCAAACAAAGTAGTACGCGATTTTGTGCTGTTTTTGACTTTTATTGCTTGTACGCGTCTGCCATCTTCAATTTTAATGACGTCTCATGACTACGAAGTAGGTCTGTTCCCCTTTATTTTTCACGTTACGGAGAAGTAGGTCTGTTCCCCTTTATTTTTCACGTTACGGCGTCATTTCGGTCATGTTGGTGTAGTGAAAACGATAAAACAGCGGCTTTATTGGTGTGCCAATCTAATCCTGGACTCTTTTCTGTAGTAAACACTTTCTTTTTGTTAAAGTAAATTAAGAGTCATTATTATCGTTAGAGAAACGCTCTATAGCAACTCTCAGTTAAATTTTGCTTTTCCTTGTTTTTGCCACAAACGAACTGGATTAATTTAGATGAATTGTTTTTGCATTCGCCAGGAATCAGCGCTGAAAGATGCTTTGGATCGACTGGCCGCTGACATTGATCAGAAGCTTGACAGATTAGAACTGGATCCACTCAAGGAATACTTCGGTAACTGAATACTGCACGACACCAAATGAAACTGATATCACTTGATATAAATTTGGATAACGCTAAATACCATGCACATGTAATCTAGCTTAATCTCTTGACATCACCGCAGAAGTTACAATTCGAGTCTCGTTTTATTTGACACCATTTGGAGAAGAGCGAATTGCGAAAATTACTGTTTCTTTTTTCAATAAGTAGATAAATCCGGGGGGGGTGGGTACTTTAGGAATTTCTTTGTGGGGATGTGTGGCTGGTACCCTGGAACCCTTAACCTATAACAGAGCTAGTTCAGCTGAATTTTGCTACCCTATATTAGAGTAAACTTCCCTAATCTCCCCTATCCTAGAGTAGCTGTTTTCCAGAAACTACTGAGGTCACTAGCACAGTCTTGCCAAAACAAAACCTTATACCACAATCCCTAGTCTAGATAAACTGATCAGGTTGCTGAAAAATGATACCCTATTCTAGATCCAAACGCTTTGATTTATATACCCTATCCTAGAGTAAACTGCTTGAAAACCATACCCTTCACAGCGGCACATACCTATATAGCCCATATATGGCAGTACCCCCCACCCCGGGGGGATAAACCAGACAATGTACGTGATGGCCAAAGTGTCGTGTTAATAATTTACCCCCTGAATTTTCATTTTAGAAAAGAAGATAAAGAGCATGAAATGTAAACATGTTGATTTGCCTTTGAATGATGATCCTGCTGCGGGTTTCCGCAAGTAAGTGAACTACAATTCTTTCCCTTGTGAAGTCACCATCTATCTCAGAATGGTGAAACATGATTGACATGGGATATTAAAACACAGGAGGTTTTAATTGAGTATCTTCAATCTGTGCAGATCTAATCCACTCGTTGTACCTTTGGCCCGCTGCACTTCCTGCAAACCAGTAAATGAACTAATCAGATGTTGAAACAAACACGTGTAGACGCGGATGCCAACCGCGGGAAAAACTCTTGACCTATCCACAATTTGACTTGTCAGAATTGGCAGACAATCAAATTAACCAATCAGATTTTGGAATAAATACATGGACATGTAGGCATAGACGCCTATCGTAGTAAACTTGTTTGAGCGAGTCAGTATTGATGCTTTGAAAACTACTTATGAACTCATGATTGGTTTAGAAAATGGGGGGAGATTTTTTACCCAATCCCAACCGGCGGCAGTGGAAGATAAAAGCAATCACCGGATTTCTGGAAAACCATTTTGAGACTGTTTAGTTTACAGTTCGCTTAAGTCGTTTCTTTCCTTTGTTGCTTGGTTCTGTTCACTTGTCAGCGTGTATAATGAACTATTGTTTCCCATTGTTTTTCAGGGCATTGCTTCGATTTCACTGTATTTCCTGTGATAGACCTGTCGATATGATCCCTGGCCAGTAAGTATTTAAAACGAACATCATAGAATGACGCTTGACTGACGCCTTGTACCTGGTCACACGTCGCATCGAGGAGACTAGTCAACTAGACATGGACTACCATGACTAATCGGAATTTTTTTAACGCTATTTGTTTAATTAGACTAGTCAATTAGCCATTGTCTATGTTTCAGCTAGTCCGGAATGGGGTGTCTGTTTCGGTCCCAACATTTTTCTTGTGCGGACGAAATCCCATCGTGTGACCATTCGAATGACTTCAGTAGCCTGAGAAAATAGCCGACATTTCGCCACACCACCACTGGTTTTCCCGCGAAATGACGCGTCAGGAACGAGTGCGAAAATTTCATACTGAAATGACGTCACTCAGATCTGGGTAGTGCACGACCAATCAGAAGCACTATCTAGGTCTGGAATTTCTGCGTTCATTCCTCAAACGTCGTTTTAAGGGAAACCAATGGTGGCGTGGAGAAATATCGGGTGTTTTCTCAGGCTACTGAAGTCATTCGAATGCAGTTCTTCAGCAGTTTTTTTTGCATTGTGTTACTCATCTGCCAGTATGTTACGGTCTGAAAATTCAAATTTTACTAAAGAGTGTTGTTTTATTTTAAGAAACTGAGCTGTGGGCTTTCAAGATAAAGAAAAACTGTAGGCCTTAGAGAGCATACTCAAGTGATTCATCACGTGCTAATGTCGAGAGGCTTCTCCAAAGATAGTCGCTGCAATTAAACCTCAGATTGTTTTCTTCAATTCTTTCTTAGCTGTGTTTAATAACCCAGAAAGTGACTAATGCCTTTTGTTTGTAGTCCCAACCCTGCTCTGCCCCAGACTCCTGGTCTGCCACCGTCCCGGTCAGGTCGTCCGTACACCACTTATGAACTTGATCAAATCCGTCAAATACATCGAGGGTAAGGAGACTTGTCGAGATTTACGTTTATTTGCTTGTTCAGTGATGTGAAAGGCTAAACCCTAAGGGGCGAGTTTACAGTTTTTCCAATACACAGATTGCGAGAAAACAAACGAACAAAAAACGATAACAGACAGAGAGATGCAAGCAAAAACTACGGTCGAAACTCCCGTAAGCGGCCACCCAAAATGCAAAGACTGAGTGGTCGCATACGGGAGGTGGTCGCTTACAAAAGTCGAACCACAGGGGGTCTCTTCCGAGAAGAGGTCCATACACATCTACTTCATAGAAGTAAATCTAATTGCATGCAATGTCTAAGTTACGCCATGTGTAGTTCCATGTTGTCACTAAAGTTCTTCGTATATTCTTAGTAGCATAGGTCATACAACGAACATAGAGATCAGAGAATGTGTGAAGTCGTAACTTACAAGAGGTTAAAAACAATGGAAAATCATCAACCGTTAGGCCCAAAAAGTGTTCGCGGTCGCTTACAGGAGGTGGTCGTTTACTAGAGGTTGCAATTGTCAGGCTTTGACTGGAAAAATTTTGGTGTGTTGGATTGGCGGTCGCTTACCAGAGGTGGTCGCACAAGGAGATTCGACTGTACTGCGAAAAAATGATCGCAAACACTATGATACTGCAAACCGTAGTAACCAATGGAAGTGATAATCGGCATAATCGATCATTTCGCGACCTTCACTTTGGTTCGCTGCAGTTTGTAACCGCAGAACATCCCTGAACTGTTGTATCATTTATGGCCATTTTATAGAGGTCCAACTCTGTTTTACCATTTACAGATGAGTTGTTTGACTTGTTTCTGATTTGTTAACAGTGGATACACATATGATCAAGAAGTTGCCACGACAACGGCCCGCGCATGCGGTGGAAGCCACACAGTGACGTTTCCCCACAGAAGGACGGCGAGATTCAAGTGAGTAGCCCAACAACACAGGGTCAAGAAAAACACCTTTTTTTATTTGGGGAAATCCCGTCATATTCAAGGGAGACTCTGTTATCAATAGGAGCCCTAAACCCTAACTAACTTAAAACTCGCTCCCAAATCAGTCAGTCGGCGACAAAAATAATCCATTATGTTTATTTTTCCCTTTGTATAGTCAATATTATTACTACAGAGAGGATGACTCACCAATTCCCATCCCTCCAAGGTAAGTAAACTTAACGATTGTTGTCCTCGTTTCGCTAGTCTTTTTCCACCCTTATTTTCTTTGTTACTGAGAAGCCCGAGACTTCAACATCAAATGGACTATAATCAGCCGTGCAAGACCCTACAACAACATTTCTAAACGATGCGACCTATGCTTAACAGAGAAACTAATGATCATTACTGCAAACCCCGACAGAATCCTAAACAAAAGATCAGAACTGATTTCCAAGTGCCGCCACGAAAACAAGTTTTACCTTAGGAACAATTGACTCAAAAACAACACTCTATTAGTTTTTTCCTCACACCTAATTGTAATTAGAACCGCACTGCCCTGCTTTTTGTAATCAATAGACGCGTGTATATATGTAACTTGATAGGTTTATTCTCCATTAAATACTGTCTGATGAGTGCGTGAGCACGAAACTCGGAGTAACAGAGAATTTTGTCTCTTCGTTATATCTTCTTACTGAGAAGCCAAGAATTTGTTTATGTTTTGTTCTCATAAGCTTTAAGCCTTTCACCCTCAGAGTAAATTATGGGGAAATGTAATTCGGTTTTAGCTTTTGATTTTGTGGACTAAATCCTTTGACCATTCAAATAAATCGGGAATTATACATGGGCGCGCGGGGATATGAAATTAATCTTCGAGTGTTCAACTCGATATCTCACGAGTAAGCGCAGCGAACAAGTGAGGTATCGAGAGTGAATACGAGAAGATAAGTTTCATATCTTCAAGCTCCCATGTATTATTCTATTTATTATATAAAATTAAATCAATTATTTCAAGAGGTAAGTATTCCAAAATTTGGAATATTAACCTTTTGAATAAATATCAGGACACATGTGTTTTGATATGACACCAGAACACATGTGTTCTGTTATGACATTTTTCAGTGGCCAAAATCCCTATAAAACACTGTAGTTTATATAATAGAGTGGTTTTCGTTTGAGTGTCGTAAAACCAAAACCAAAGTAATTACTCTGGCCAATCACATAGGACACAGACAATACATTGAACCAATCAAAACTCGAAGTAATTACATGTGGCTGACGCAAAGCGCGGGAAAATCGTGCGAGCGCGTCACAATTGGCTTTGGTTTTACTTCTGATTGGATGAAAAGGTGGCGCGAATCTTTTAAGCCAATCGCATCGTGTAGAAAGTGCAAAACCAATTACTTTTCGACACTCAAATGAAAACCGCTCGAAAACCTTTTTATCGGTACTCACATCATACTATTTCTTTAGTATGTAGTACCATGCTGTGATTGGTCGAATGGGTCAATGTGGCAGATTCGAGGTGTTGTCTCTTCGCCCCGGTCTTGATGATCTCTTTTCCTGTTTACCTCTCTCACATTCTACAATACTCCCCCTCCCACCTTGTTGGGCCCAGGCTAAGTATGCAGTTCGAACTTTTTAGTCTTTGGACTTAATTCTATGAATTGACCATGGAAATGAAACCTATCTGGCAGGACTTTTTCGTCGCGGTAATTGTTTCTAGTATTTTACAAAATGAATTTGAGTCTTTTCTCAGTCTAAAGTGAATCGTTGCTGGCTTTCAAACATTAGTTCGATGACTCTAGGTTATCGCTCGAAATGTTTGGTTTTAAATCTATGAGGTTGAGCAATTAACCTTCTCGAATCAGTTGATAAAACTAGTTAACCCATTACTTGCATTTCCTGGCCACACAGCCCTTTATTTTTCATCATATGTTCAACTTTTCTAGTTCAAAGAAGGAGTACAAAAAGGGGCCATCTTTGCTAATATACCATCTGACCTAGGGCAGCCTGTCTCCCAGTCAAAGCAAATTATGCTCTGGCATTTTGAACGGAAAAGTTGAAGCTGTTTATGGTGCATGGGTGAGCTTCCGTGCCAGGCGCCGGTATTTTTAGAGCGAAGGGAGAAACTTGCATACATGTACGTGCGCGCACGAGGGAAAACTGTGGAGAGTGGACATCTCCCCTTCGCGTATTCCACTTGAGCGCTCTTTTAAACTATTAAGTAATGGTCCAGATGAGAAGGAAAGAACCACATGAACACGTTGGAGTGCAAAAAGTGCTAACTTTACTATTGTCTCGTCTGAGTCTAGTAACACAGAAACCTATGTGAGAATCAAGTAAAATTATAAACTTTTCTTGGCTATTGTTTGCAACTCTATACAAAAAAACACTCTTGAAAAAATTATGGATTTTATATACATTTAATTTCGTAAACTGCCTTTTTGTACATTTTTCTGTATTCTCTGTTTGAAAATGAAAATATTTCTACCTGAGGAAAGCGTTTTGCGCCACAACAAAAGAAACAGGCCACTTCCGAGTGTAAAAACCCTCACTTTCAAAATGAGGCCAAGTGCACGACCTTTCTTGTGAAAATGAGTTTGATTTGATACATAGAGGCCTGGGGGAACTCGGAAATAGCCTACTGCTTCCCGTCTTACCCGGATCGTTACTTTAAACGGCGCCTGCCTCGCCCGCGATGCGTGAGCGGAAGTATGCTACGTGAAATTGCCGAGCCTTGTATGGAAGATGGTTTAAACAATCCGGAAAAAGTGGATAAACTGAGGTCGTGATCAAACGAAAACAAAAATGATTTCCCATCTAACTGTAGGATAAATACCTATTTGATAAACCTTGTTTGACTGATTTGTTTGAAGGGACGAAACAGAGCTTATCGGACAGGATGGACAAATTTACAAAGGGCGCTTTGATGAAAGAATGCCTGACGTACCCACGGTATGAACCTCCTTTCATTGCATAGAGAAGTGTTACGCACTTCTCATCATTCTTTATTTCATTTCGAGCATAACAAGTGTTAGATTTTTCTCTGCTTGTTTTTACTTCTTTGTTCCCTTCGTTTGATCTTCTTTGGGTCACGTGATCAAAGAAAAATGGTGTTACTTGAACCGTGAAAACCATACAACTACTGGAGTCCTACTGATGTTTTATTTTAATGGGGATCACATGTTAATGTAACAACAACGTGTACTTGTGTGTGTGTGTGTGTTGTGTTCTAAAGGTTTATGTACGATGTAATGACCTACGGACTGTTTCACTCACTTCCAGTGGTAGAATTCCCCTTTAGGCTGTTTTAAAGCCGCGTAATTGAAGTCGGTGACAAGTGAAAGGTACTTGTTAAGTCGCGCCATAGATTTCCAGAGAAGCACGGGTCTTGTGATAGGTGCTGACTCATCAGCATGAGCTCCCAAGGTCAAAGACTTTTAGTTTCTCAAGTCTCGCTCAGTGAAGGAGATCTTATGGCTATTAAGCTCAGTAGACATTTTCCGGCTCAGAGAGTTGAGGACAACCCCAGCATATATTTGCTTTCAAAACCTCTCTCACTCTCAATTAAGGCTTCAAGAATCAGTGATCTGAGGATAGTGTTATAACAGCCCACACCTTCCTCGAGTGTGTCCTTCCCCAGTGAAAGGTGTATCGAGGAAGACCTTATAATAAAGCTCACTATGCCAGGCTTGTATCGTAAGTTCTTTTATGTTCTTCTCGGCAGTACCCCAAATCTCCAAGAGTCATGTCAGCGAAGAGAGCAACTAGCCCCCAGCCTCCTCGCAATGGAAGCCCAACAAATCGTCGCCCACGATCTGCTGCAGTCCCCTCATCTCCTAGAAATCTCGAGGAGGAAGCTGAGCCCGCGAGTGTTGTTGTTCAGTGACAATGGTCTCACATCAAATGATGCAGTGACTTATTGCTCCTGTTCTTATTGCTGTTCAGCAAACTCTTATTTGCGGATTCTTTGATTGTTTGTAGAAGTGTTGAATATTTGAAGTGAAGGGTAATTTATGATACTTATTTATGATAAAAAGGTATAGTTAATATTTGCTTAATATATTAAAGTCGTTGAATCGAGGATTGAAAATTTAAATATCTCGTGGAAATGCTGTTTCTGAATTTTACTTCTTGACTTATTCGATGCTGGCCATTTCCTTTTTTTAAACCAGTTCACAAAATCCCTATTGACAGTCTAACTGGTCTTTAAACACCGTTATAAAATACATCACTTCATGTCGTAATGTTGCACTTGGAGGTTCCGCGTGTTATAATCTTTATGTGTAAGTTTTGAAGAAAAAAGGTGATGTGTGTTGAACGTTTTCCCTGCTGACGAGTACTTTTTAGGTCGCTTTGATGAGTCCTCTAAGTTCTATTGAAAAAAAAGAGGTTGTAAGTTCAGAAAACAAGGACTTTTGCGAATTTGCTTTACCAGTGATTGACTTTACATGCCTTCCCATAGTTTCAAAAATACACTTTAATAAACAGTGGACGAAACCGCGAAGGACGGTAGGGTTTATAATGCAGACGTTGAGTGATCACTTGTTGAAAATGAGCGTTGGAGATGTTACATTGTGATAGTATGTGAATCATCCTCGGAGACCCAGGGGCAGTCAGTCGGGCCAGGAGAAAAGTTACGACGAAAGTTTTCAAGCATGGGTGGAAGAGCCCCTGGGTACCGACTCTCACCAGACCATTTCCAAAAGGTCAAGCGAATGCTGGCCCCTGATTGGGCACAAAAAATGCTTTGTATTATTGTGCCCAATCGGTGAACAGTTTCTCCTGAGTTCTTTTTGTGAGTTCGTACACGACGGCTATTATCTCGCCACAGTTGCCTGGTTCGTTCACCAAGCTTTCCTAACTACTGATGAGTCGAAGAACGTTTCGGATGCTATCAGCGGGAGCAATTCAATTTGCACTGAGAAAATTCTGTTTCTGACGGATCACAATGTATCGTAAACAATAGGAAGTTTAAGATGCAGCGGCAACGAGAAAGTAAAAAAAGCAATGGCTTGATAAGGCAAAACAACAACTTTGCACGTGCATCACGCTTTTTGTACATTTCTTTGCTGTTACTGCACAACTGCCACATGAGAATACCTAATTTCACGTTTTGTGAAAGAAGTAAACAAGCAATGACAAAATTTTCTTTCTCTGAATGAACTTGGATATGGCTGATAGAAATTCAGCGCCAGAGGAGATCGCTTGCATTTGACAAAGTAAGCGAGTTGGAATAATCACGATAGAGACTGAAAAAATGTGAATTCACTTCTCATGCGAGGTTTCGTGGCTGCCAGCTGTCGTGGCATCTTAAACTCCTGAATATTTAAGAAGGCGTGATCGATGCAAGAGTGAATACTTGTTGTAAGCTCAAGCTTGTATTTTTGGAAAAGCGTCTTTAGTTTTCGAGTAGACTGTATTTTGAACTGGAGAGTTTATATCAAACTGAAAGTTTCCTGACTGCGTGCATTTCTTTGGTGCATGAGCCAGACAAGCAGTGATCGAGTTAATAGCCGTCGTGTACGAACTCACGAAGAGAACTCAGGAGAAACAGTTCGCCGATTGGGCACAATAATACAAAACATTTTGTGTGCCCAATCAGGAGCCAGCATTCGCTTGACCTTTTGGAAATGGTCCGGTGAGAGTCGGTACCCAGGGGCTTTTCCGCCTGTGCTTAAAAAGGTTTCGCCGCGCCTCTTCTCCCGTCCCGACTGACCGCCCCTGGGTCTCCCAGGATGTATGTGAATATGATATTTATCAGGTCGATTTAGCACATGCCCATTGATTGACCAGTTGTCAGAAATAACTCTGTTCTGTAAAGTTTATTATAAGTTATGATAATAAAAATAAAGAGATAGAGAGAAAGAAAGAAATGTCAATGATTTTTTAAATTTTGTTTAATGAATGTTTCACTCGGGATTGATATAATTTGATGAACTGCAACTAATGCAAGCGACTTTAAAAAAAGATTGGATTGAAGGCAATTTTTTTCACAGTCAACTTCGTTGCCAGGTTCTCTATTACCCTTCCAGGGCAGGGGAAGATGAAAACTTGGTTGTATCTCACTCTCTCCTAGTCTCCCTCGGAGCCGTTGCGTGACGAGACAAAAACGGCTGCCAGGGAGACTAACTTTCTCCCGGATAATTATTGACAATTATTTAAGACCACGCCTATCGTTAGCTACGATGTGTCGTCCGTCGGTCAAAGATAAAGAGCCGTGATGAAGAGCAAACGACAACAGGATACAATGAGACAGGCTAAAATAAAATGTTAGAAACGTTTATTTTATTCACTGGTTACAGTAAAAGGAAAAAAAGACAATTAACAATTTTCATTCGAATAGAATCATTGTAAACTAAGTTTTTTTTATATATATATATATACATAAAAGAGAGGATGTTACGTTGTTGTTGTTGTTGTTTTCTTAATTAGAGTTAGTGAAGAAACTTGATGGGAACCTTGAGCATTGGAAAGGGCTGATCTGCTCCTTCGTAACATTTCATTCCCCTTCATTCTCAAATAAATCTCGGCCGGGAAGTTAGTGATAAATGTTTGACAGTCCAGCTCAACTAGTCAACCTAAGTTTAAACGGACTGGCCTGTGACCTGTTGTAGGGCCTGTCAATTCTGTCAGTACAGTCAACAAAGTATTAAAAGTTACCTTAACATTCTTCGCCTTGCAGGATATACATCTTTTGTGCCTGAAAATCGGACACTAAAACACGGTTATCAGGTGTTGTGGCTATTGCAATGGGATCTTGAAACTTAGTAACAGTTTTACGTACAAAATAACCTTCCGTTGAAAACTTGGCAATGCGACCATTGCCACTATCACAAACAAGGATGTTTTTGTGATCAACGCATTTCTCAATGCACAGACCTTGAGGACGCATTAATTGCCCATCATCTTTTCCTTTTACTCCAATCTTGTAGAGGAGAATCCCTGAGCAGTTAAAGATTTTTAAACAGTCGTTGTACGTATCAGATACTATGAACATGTTTTGGTGGAAAATACAACCGGTTGGATGGTCAAGGCTTGTTGAACCAAAGCTAAATACTGGAGCACCATCCTTTGTGAACACCTGGATTTTGTTTTCGACGCAGTCTGCTACAGCAACGCGTCCCTGGCTATCGATACAAAGGCTCACTGGATTCTGAAGGTTGTCTTTTCCAAAGGTCTTCACAAACTTTCCTGTTTGTACATTAAACTGCTGAATGCGGTGATTCAGGAAATCTGCCACTAAAAGTTCATCGTAATTGAGATACGCCAGACCCGTTGGATAGTTTAGCTTCCCTGGCTCCTTCCCTTTTCCGCTCATCTTTCGACGAAAATTTCCATCGTTATCAAATACCAGAATACAGTGCCTTTTACAGTCAGATACAGCGATCAAACCATTTTCGTTCACGGCGATTCCATGCGGAACTGGATTCCCATCGCGTTCTTGTAGATCCAACTCACTCACTTCTTCGACCTCTCGTTCCTTCACTCGGATAGTGAAACAGTTCTCGTGATAATTGTGTCTACTTTTTAAAGTCACTTTAACGTTGTATGCACCAGCTTCTTTAGACGTGAACTTCACCAAGAAATTCCCATCATCTTGCTGGCGAGTAGTCGTACTTCGTACCTTGTCACTAGGCTCCACAGCGACCTTTGCACGGATATTTTTCTTTTGCACCTCACCCTTTAATTTTGGGCATAAGATCAACTTTGCCTCTACACCTGCTTGGAAATCTTGACTTATCCCCTGAACGGTTGCGCCAATAGTTGTCGTAAAACCGAGGGTAAATTTCCTTGGGTCACAAGTTTTGACAAACTTAACGGAGGAACAAACCGGAAGTGAAGGAACAGGGGTTTGGTTAAGATATTCAAACCGATGTTTGAGGATCTTGTAGCTTTGCACAATACTTGAGCTTGAGCTTCTTTGAATCAAGTTATTGGCAAATTCAACAGCTTGATCGACTTGTTTAAGCAGGGACTTCACTTGTACCTTTGCGGAGTTTAATTCCTCCATTCTTGACGCACGAGTGTTCTCAAGTGCGGAAATAATCTCGCGTTCTTGTCGTTGAATTCTCGCGATCATTTGTTCTGCTGTTTGGGAGACTTCACGTTTGGCATTTATAATCTCAGTTTCCAGACTAAAAACTGTCTGCTCAAAGTGACGAATTATGTCACTACAAAATTTCCTTTTTTCTTTCATTAACTCAACTTCCGCCATGATGTTAGCTTTATCGCTACTGGCTGCCTTGTCAAGCGCATTTATAGTATGATTCTCGTGACCTGTACCAATGCATAACTGACAAACACAAGTCTGGCATTCATCGCAAAAAAACCTTGTTATCTCTTGTTCGTGGCAATCCTGAGAACAGAAGGAGGGCCGCTTTAACAGAGAGTCGTAGTCTTCCCTTTTAAACTGCTTCACCAATTTAAGTTTATGTTCTTTAAAAGCCACATTGCGTAGAATTTCATGCGCATGTACACAATCAGGGCAGAGAAATTTTCCACAGTTAAAACAGAAACTTGCCTCTGTGCTTTTAATGGCACAGTTGGCACAAGTAATATCATCACTTCCATCACAGCACCGTTGTGCAGCAAGAAGATCGAGCCAATCATTCTGTAGAAAGCCTGTAGGCAGTTTATCGAAACCATTGTTTTTAGGGACAACAATTTTTGCCTGACACTCGGGGCACCGAAATTGTCCATGTTGTTGGCTTCTTTGAGCGTGTTCCTTTAAACAGTCGCAGCAGAATGTGTGCAAGCAGGCTATCGTCTTGGGTTCGTCAAGCGTATTTAAACAAATTGAACATGTAACATGCTTTCTGAGGTTTTCTAAAAGGAACTCCATTGCAAACGAGTAACCGAGTCGTATCTCTTCTTAGAATCAACCTAATCGTATCAATTCTCAGAAGAAATTTGCATATAATAAGTGTGTGGCCAATTAGATCGTTTTTAACATGCCCTGTGACTGTACTGCGTCTAGCGTGCGTGACAAGTTGTAACGAACGGAAATCTCTCGCACTTTATCTGTATTTCAGGAGGGTCCCGAAGGGGCCAACAGTTAGCTGTAAAACAGTTTTCATACGGAGAATGACACCGCTTTTTTTTTTTATAAACAAGAAAAGTAAAACGCAAACTGCACGCCATTGAAAGTCTAACCGAGAAAAAACGTCACGCGTTATTTTTCGGAGGAAGACAAGCGACGACCGGAAATACGTCTGCGGTTCCCAGGCTAGTCTCAACATACATTTGTGAGCTGTGAATTGTGAGCTTAAAATTTTGAGATATATAATAACAGCAGGGGCGGATGCAGTATCTTTTTTAGGAGGGGGTGCACTCGTCTCTTGTTCTACTTCAACACCAATAAACCACATAGTTTTTTTTTTTTGCTCAATATCAGTTGTATTAGAAAACCGCAGCTCATCTTGGGGGGGAAGGGGGTTGCGCACCCCCTGCACCCTCCCCCTAGATCCGCCCCTGAACAGTAGTTTGAGAAGCTAATGAGAAAATACTGACAAAAACAAAGGAGGTAATACAATACTACAACTTAATAAAGAAAACGGTAAAACAAAAAGAAACTATGACAAATAAGATTGTGACGGGTATGCCCTTACTTAGCTTAAAACGTACACGCGTGTAAAACTAATTAGTCAAGGCGCAACTTTTCGCTGAAGATGACGAACGAAAAGAGTCTCTTTTATGGTACAACGTAGGTCAGACCTTCGGCATCACTCTCGGTTCCCCCATTTTTCCTCAATTCTTCATGATCCCGCTAACTTTGCTTTGGTGAAGCTCTTCTCAGTGTCAGAATCATATATTTTTAGATTTTTTATTGCTTGCGTGCATCCTTAATTTTTTCTTCCAGTTCTGGAATTCTGGATACACGCGTCCATCTTTGTTTGTGGGAAGAGGGGAGGGGCTGGGCGTGTGCCATTGGAAAAAAACCACAGAAATGTGGAAGTGTCCCAAGACTTACGGAAGCTGAAAACACATCAACTCCCTTCGAGCCTCTATATTTTGAATTCGTTTTCAATCTTTCGTAGATCATGGATGACATAATTGATTCTTAAAGTTTTGAGGGAAATTGTATTGTCCCTTTCCTTAACTTAAAAAAGCAACGAAAGAATCAAAGATCAGTAAGTCAAGCACTTCTTGGAACAGCACTCGCTATCTTCATCGCACCAAGCCATAAGCCAAGAGCAATCCTCGTCCATCATCTTCTTGACGTCAAAAGGGCGGTCGTACTTTTTCAAACTTTTGTAGTCATCATCATAACTGAACAATTCCTTCTTACGAACACGGTAAGCCGTCACAACCAATACGCAAAGAACTAGCAAAGCCAAAGTGAATATGAACTTCATTTCTGTCTGTTAAACAAAACATATTCATGCATGAATGCGTGCAACAGCATAACTCGTAAAAAAGGGGTTTTTTTTTCTGTTCAACCAAGGCAAGACACGGTGTAACTCAATTCTTAGCCGGACAGTCCCGAGTTGCTTTCACCTTCACTAAACACAACCTCGTTCCCAGGGTCTCTCCTACACGATCCCTGGGGGAGCAGGGGAAAACCCTGGGAGCGATTTAAGACTCCGTCTTAAAGTCTCTTACATTCTCTGGCTCGACTCTGTTCATTTGTCAGTATCGCTGGACAAGGGAACTTTAAAACTGTAGAACTGTATTAAGGAGCGGTCTTGTATCACTGGGAACAAGACTACAGGAAGCAGATTTAAGCCACAAAAAAATAAATAAATGAAAACGAAACCGGTAACTTCTGACGGGTCATGAAGTTTCGCCTATCTTAGAATAGTATAAGTTCACGTAATTATTTTGGGTTCTTTATTCTCAACGCTTCGGCATTCCATCTGCGCTCGGCACTTTTGTGTCTAAACTAGTTCATTAAAGTTTTGCTTATAACAAATTGTCTAATCAGTTTGTCCACCTTATACCGTTATGTTATTATGCATAAATTAATTTATGCCATAATTATCCTGGATAGCTTCTTGGCGCCTTTTTCTCTTTTTCGCCCCGCCAACTTTTCGCGAGCCTTTTACTTTCGCGTCTTCCCCACTATCTGAGAGCCTGGAACAGGCTATCGCGCGCTACGCTAGTGCAAATGATAAACATAGGTGCTAGATCTGTACAGCACCCGAAATGATCCCCAACCCTGAAATGATCCACAAATCGACCCCGAAATGATCCCCGTTTCTCTTCACGTCGACCCCGAAATGATTCCCAGTTAATTTTAGGAATGGAATGATATCCTAGAACTAATGGATCGTGCAAAGTGCACAACATCATAACTTAAGTTTCACTAAGAATCTTCACTTTCACTTCACTTCACATTTTAGGAATGGAATGATATCCTAGAACTATGGATCGTGCAAAGTGCACAACATCATCACTTAAGTTTCACTAAGAATCTTCACTTGCCCACATTCTTTAATGACATTATTAATTTGGGATTACACTTTGAACTGGATTAAACGAAAATATTATTTAATACACAAAGTCTAGTATATTTTTAGTAACACCATGAACTGCAACTGATATTATCAAGAAACATAACATTATATTATTAATAATTATTATTACACACATGTACAGCTGAGTTATTTTTACTAACAGAAGATTTATAAAGCCGTCTTCATTATGAGTCCTTGAGTAGTCGCATAGGTAAAGAAATTTAATTATAATCAGGTCAAAAGTAAAATATAAGGCAAATTAATCGCGCTATCGTCTGTGAGTATAGTACTGAATAGGACTGTTGTTAACATTGACTTGATTTTCGACCACCATTTCGGCCAGTTCTTAAAACAAATAAAAGGTTGAAAACATGGTTGCTCGTGCGCCCTTTTAATAGGTCTTGGAAGCCCAACAAATCGTCGTTCACGATCTGCTGCAGTCCCCTCATCTCCTAGAAATCTCGAGGAGGAAGCTGAACCCGCGAGTGTTGTTGTTCAGTGACAATGGTCTCACAGCAAATGATGCAGTGACTTATTGCTCCTGTTCTTATTGCTGTTGTACCAGAAATCTCTTATTCGCGGATTCTTTGATTGTTCGTAGAAGAGTTGAATATTTGAAGTGAGGGGTAATTTATGATACTTATTTATGATAAAATAGTATACAGTCAACTCTCTCCAAGACGGACACCTCTGGGACCGGCTAAATTAAAGTGTCCGTCTTAGAGAGATGTCCGTCTTATAGAGAGTCAAATAAAGGGAATAAGAAAAGGCAGCGACCAACTCTATATGTGTCCGTTTTACAGAGGTGTCCGTCCTATAGAGGTGTCCGTTAAGAGAGAGTCGTCTGTAGTTAATAATATGCTTGATATATTAAAGTCGTTGAATCGAGAATTGGAAACCTCGTGGAAATTCTGTTCTGAATATTACTTCTAGACTTTATTCGATGCTGGCTTATTTCCATTATTTAAATCAGTTCAAAAAGTCTTAAGCTTATAGATTTCTTACAGATTACAATTATTCTTAACCGTAAGTCTGAGTCGCTTGAAAGATGGTTAGCCTCATGCATTCAAAGATTTAACTGAATGTTGAACAAAATGTTCGGCTCAGAAAAAGGGGTGAGAGCTTTTAAATATTGTTAAGCCTTTCTCAGAGGACCAGTCATGATTGCCCAAAGTGACAGGCTTTTTACCCCGGGGGGGGGGGGGGCCTGGGGGTTTTTTGGGGGGGGGATGGGGCCCCCGGGGCCCCAAATGGGACCCCCGTTTTAAAAAAAATTTCCCCCCAAAATTAAACCCCCGTCCAGAAAAAAATGTTTAAATTGATTGATTATTTTCCATATAAAATTATTCTTAACCGGAAGTGGTGTGAGGTTGAAAAAAGGTTAACCTCATGCAATAAAAATTTTGACTGAAAGTTGAAAAAAAATTTCGGCTCCGAAAAAAGGGGGGAAAGTTTTAAAATATTTTTAACCTTTTTCCGAGGACCAGTAGTTATTTGCCAAAAGGAAAGGGTTTTTTCCCCGGGGGGGGGGGGGCACTTGGGTATTTTTTGGGTGGGTATGTGCCGCCCGGGACTCCAAATTGGCACCCCGTTCTAAAAAAAATTTCCCCTAAAATTGATACCCCGTTCTAGAAATGGGCCAATTTTGTATACCCCGTTCTAGAATTCGCCCTAAAACTGATACCCCATTCTAGAAATTGGCCAATTTTTTATACTCCGTTCTAGAAAGTTTGTAAATTGAAATAGCCCTGTATTTTTAAAAAGATATTTCTTTATTTGTTCGACTTATACATGAAATAAATGCTTCTTCATAATCAGCAACACTTACATAAATAATTTCAAATGACTGCTTACAAAACTGGAGCTTTCGTGCGTTCGAAATATTATACTCCGTTCTAGAAAACGCCTCTGAAATGGATACCCCGTTCTAAATCAGGAGCTTCAAAAACACGACCTCGTTGGGCGGCACATACTCGTATAGGTAATGTATGGGAGTACCCCCCTGGGCTTTTTACATCCCTTGATGCTTCAAATTTCATAACAAAGGCTAAAAGCGCGTTAGACAGTTTTCATTTTCACCTTTATTCTAACAGTCCTTAATATCGGATCTGAGATCTGAACTTTATAGTTGTTCAAAGTCGACGGTAGCCTTGGGAAGCCTATTGGCAGTCTAACTGGGCCCAGTTGTTCGAACGCCGGTTAGCGCTAACCCGGGGTTAAATTTTAACCCGGAATTCTTTATCTTTTTATCAAAAGCACTCTCTTGGATCATTTTCTCTATTCTTTTTAGAGTATCCAATCATCAAATTGTAGGCAAAGAGAATTAAACTGAATTTGCTTTTTAAGCTCTCATATCTGAGTTCAAGTTTCGCACTAACCCTGGGTT